TCGCACGCTATCACGGTCCGTGTTTGCGTATACGTAACACGTGTCCCAGTGATCTCAACCAATGAAATTTCACTAATCCATCAAATGATTTGTCATCCTTGTCTAGTACTCATTTCCTAATAACTGTATTACTTACTCGGTGGTCCCAGTATATACGATCAATGCTTCAAAGACATCTATGACCGAATATCAGTAACATTATTATCTGAATATTACTGGAGATTAGTTTCAATCTTAGTAGCTCAATATCAGCTTCTTTGACAGATATACGGTAATATGAATTCCATTTACTGAGTGAACGTCAATCCCCTCAAGATTACAGATATGTCATACTGTCAAGTTCTACATATTATAAGTAGTTGGATAATGACGGTCCCTAACTGATTGTCCCCTACTATTTGACATTGTTAAATGATAAATCCATACACATCATATTAAGTGAATATCGAACCAATTAGGAAGGTTGTGCAGTAATTCTAAAAGTATTTTATGGAAATTATTCACTTACAAACAGATCACGTAAGCGTAATCCTCGAATGACAAAAAAATTAAGGAAAAAATATTCATAATTAGATAACTATAATGAATAAGGGATATGTTGATATGGAGAGTTAATCAGAAGTAGTCTAAGGCGAAGGTCAACCGATGGCATTCAGAAATCACCTGAAAGAAATTTTCATTTCATTGTCTGTGAAATGGATCAATTTCCTAAGGATTATATATATATATGAATGTGAACAGATGTTAGTTTTCTTGATTAAAAAGCAGCATTTGACTCCGTGGATAGAGAGGTGCTTTGACAGTATCTGCCATTGAAAGGCTCACATCAGAAGTATATAAACTTTGTGAAAGCTCTTTACTCGAACACTACTAGTCGAGTCAGAGCTTATGGCGAACTTTCATCTGATTTTGCAACCCCAAGTGGAGTCCGTCAAGGCTGTCCACTTTCTCCATTTCTGTTTAACTTCATCATAGGTCTACTGATGGAAATAACATTCTCGTCGACTGTAATATCGGGTATTGATCTCCTTCCAAGAATTCCACTTATCGACTCACAATATGCAGATCATATAGTCCTGTTTGGTGAAGACACTTGCTGATTCCAAAAGAAATGAACGAGCGAACGGCGATCGTTCCACTGAGATAGGAGATGTAATCAGTAGTCCGTTTATATGAATTTAGGTATAGCTAAAATACAATGTGATACATATATATATGTCTGTTACCAGTGTTTGACCAGCTGCAATGTTACCGTACAATTATGTAGATCTATGATACACAGTTGAACAAAATACAAATACAGTTAACCAAGCGAATGAAAAGTCATGAAGATTGGACCCCATAGTTTTATAAATACCACAACAGTGATTGGTTTCAATTGATTTTCCTTAAGAGATGGAATGAGGTGATAATTGACAACAAAGTATGATCATTAGTGTTTCTATAAATAAAAGAGGTCAACAGAAATATGTTTGTTAAGAAAAAGCACACGTTGTTTACACTGGGATTGAAGAAGGAGTACTCAATTTTACTTTGAAAGTGTAATCGGATGTAAGAGAAATGATGATAGTACATGGTGTGTTGTTGTATTTAATGTGGTGAACTGGACAGAATTCCCGAATTACCATATCATGTTCCTAAATGCACACAGTTCAGAGGTGTTTGTTTCATTAGCAAGAGTGACATATATAAGAAGGTCAGTGTGTGCTGCTTCGATCTCCGGTGGACTCAACAAAGCTGGTCTATTCAAGAGTTGCTTGAATTATTCCACCCATATATTCCTCTGATCTTCAATCTCCTTGATTGACTTGAATACTTTGTTCTTTACCGGTCACCCTGGTTTACTATATTTTCCTGCCAGTTTGTTTGTCGTTTTGTATAGTTGATTCATGTTTCTTGCAGCTACGGCTTCATCTGCTCTCGTTGCTGGGTGCTCCACGTACTTTTGCTTGTTGGCTGTAATGCTCCTCTTCACTTGCTATTTTGCTTCCGTTTATTCAGCTCGGTCATTCATTTCCTATGTTATTGTTCAGCTGTTGCTTATTGGTTTCTCCCTGTTTCTTTTGATCTTGATTAGTCTGATTTTATGCAGTGTTATCCGTAGAGACCCGTGTAGCTTTGTGAATGCAATTGTGGGGTGATGTTATGATGTCTATAATTAATTTGTTGAATGCACATAGATTTACAAATCTCTCTCTATCTTCATTTTTTTCTCCCGGTCAGTCAATGTCGTTCCATGATATTTTCAAAGCCGGTGTTATATTTTCCTGCTTTGGCGTTCAGGCCTCCAATGAGGATGATCAGGTCTTTTGACGAGAAATTCTCCATGATCGATTGCACAACATCGAAATTTCAATCTTTGTCGTTGCTATCATTGCTGTGTGCATAACATTTAGTAGCATTCATTATGAATTTTTCCTTCTTTGTTTCGAAGTATGTTTTGATGTTTCTAGGTTCAAGAGGTTCGCATCTTACAAGTGCGTTAGGTGCTTCTTCACACGGCATCAGAGCATCTCCATCGAATCCAAACCATTTGACTACGTTGTGTCCAATAGGTTTTGCTGATATCGAGCACTGTCAAGTTGCACTTCCTCATTTACATAATGATTGAATGGTCCGCTTGGTCTCACATATTTTCCGGACGTTCCATGTATCTACATTAATTAAGTGTTGTTTAGTTTATTAGAAGGGAGTTGGTGTTTTGCCGTCGGAATATTCTCGGCTTCGCCAAGAAGCAGCAGAGTTGTGGTGTAAGAACATCCTTTAAATTCCAGGTCAGAGTTCGTATGCTATAATTCATTTTGTGTGTTTGGCATATTTTTAGCGACGTTGCATTGTGAACTATTGAAATGCTGACTTTATATTAAACCCTCTTCAATAACTTGGATATATGATCGGTAATAACCTTAGATGAGCTACAGAAATGACTTGAATAAAAATTTATGTGAATTGTCTAGTCAAAGCAGTTTCATGTTAACTGCAGTCACCTGTTGCTAGGTCTCAAGTTAGTACGAGTTCAATTAATCTGCGAACGAGAACAAAGACTCAGTGACCAAAGACCAATAAGCTAGATATTCTAATGCGCATCAGCCCCGCTAACTACAGGAAGGAGTTGGAGCTTGTAATGGGGAAGTACATTTTGCAAACAGGTAGAAACAAGTGACAACAATAATCATAAATCAAAACATATATATAAAGTACAAAACCGTCCTCGTGGAGACTTTCCAAATAGCATACCAAAAGACATATAACAATATATGAAAAGAGTTTTTGTGGAGACCTTTAGAAATTTCACTGATTGAAATCATGAGACAATTGAATTCAGACCATCATGGTCTCTAGTTTGTTAAGCGCCTTGCATATAACTGTTAGGTCACGGGTTCGAACCTCGCGGGGTGAGGGATCGTGCATGCGCACTGGAACATTTTCATTTGTATTTAGAATTGGTTCTGTATTATCACTATGTTCAATCATTGTTTGATTACATGGTGTTTCTTTATTATTTTTATATTGTTTTATTATATTATTTCTATCATTCATACACATTTCGTAATATTTATAATGTACTTCGTCAGTTGCGAACTATTGATTAAAAAAAAGAAAAGAAAAAAATGAGGAGAAAATAATGAAAATAACACAATCTTAAGTACATATTTGTTGAACAATAAATATCCAAACTAAATGAGAGAATGAGACTCTAATTTATGGACGAGTCAATCAGAAGTGTTTGAACGATTTCATGGTGATGACGCTTTCTTAAGTACCTGATGAATACGGTTACCTTCACAAACTTGGATATGTGCATAATGTCGTTATTTGTAAGCGTTGTTTTGTGGACCCTACAACTGGAGTACACACTGACAATATTGAAGTTATGTGGTCGAAGCTAAAAAGGTTCTGACGACACTATCATGGCTCGAGAGGTCGACTATTATAGAGCCATAATGGATGAGTCCCTCTTTCGTATGTACTAATATTTCAGTACCTCTGAACCTTTTTCAAACCATGATTAGTCTTCGAACCACTTTAATTCTCTTGGTTTTTTTGTAATATATACATTAGTGGAGAACATTGAAGATTCGTTCAAAGGTTGTCCATAGAGTCTCGTCAATGAGAGATATAATCAATTAGAAACTAATCAACATCAAGATCTATGCTATGAGTTATATGTGGAGAAATGTAAACATTTCATAACTGATAATAACGGTCAGAGAGGTGACGAAATCTTCATAACCAAATGATTTAGTTTACTGAAGAAAACTTTATCTAGAATATTTAATAAAACAAAAACTGATGACATTATAATTTACAGATGACCCTATTCGTGTTTAAGCTGTCGATAACAGCTAACTGAATGTTCTAGGAATTTAGATTCGACAATATTGACAGTTACCAGTCAGAACTCTTTAATACTTACATTTATAAAGTTTATGATTTCAAACTACATCACGAGGCAAGCTCTAACTTGGAATCCTCAAGGGAAGTGGAAAAGAGAAAGGCCAAAATACAAATTACGTTGGGAAATACAAGCAGATATGAAAAAGATGAATAACAATCGGGAGAAGCTGGAAAAGATTGTCCAGGACAGGGTTGGATGGAGAATGCTGGTGAGCGGATTATTCACCTTGATGAGGAGTAACAGACGTAAAGAAGTAAGTAAGTATGTTCGAATTAAGTACAGTTTGAAATCTACAAAGTAAATAAGTTCCATCAAGACTACAGATATGTTTGTTTATAAGTAATGGTTGAGTTGAAACTTAGGTAAAACAAGGTTTCTTGGTGACAATACATGCAACCAACAATTTAAAAAAAGTTGATTTATTCACACAACTAACCATCAGATGTAATGGTAATCATTGATCCTGAATCATCTACATTAGTCTTGTTATCCAATTTATTCATTAGACCTTATTCTTCAAGATAACGTGCTCTTGATATTTCAGCTCTCATCGCTCTACCAGGTTCCATTTCTTCCCAAGCTCTTTTTAAAGCTTTAATTTCTAATATTTTATTATCCATATTAATGGATTTAATGTCATTCTAATAAAATAATAAGAAAGTAGAAACATTCTATAAACATAAAAGCAGGCAAATCAGTAACATTCTATCCTTTCACTCAATTTCAATTCTTCAGAGTTAATTATAAATAGTATTGCTTAATTACCTACTTACTTACTTACGCCTGTTACTCCTCGTGGAGGAGCATAGGCCACCCACAAGCACTCTCCATCTAAACGTGTCTTGGACAATCCTTCCCAGTTCTTTCCAGTTATTATTCATAAGTGCTTCTATTTCCCGACATAATGTGTTCTTTGACCTTCCTCTTTTCCGCATCAGCATTACTCTGAATGAAAAATCTATTGCATGATCATTGTAGACAATCTGAAAACGTTTCAATTGCTATGGTGAAAGCAACAATGAACAATGAACGTTAGGTGCAAATAACAAAAGGAAGAAACAGCCCAGTTCAATATGACTGTTATACCAATCAATAAAACCAGAACTCATGATCACAAATATTAAGATTACTATAATATCTATAAAAACCCCTTCTGATAATAATCAACATACGCTCACTAGTGACTGATTTCAAGTGATATTTCATGGAGTTCTAGTGAGAAGGTTGTGGAAAGTAACCATGGGTTAGAAACGTGGAGGTCACGTGACTTTCGAAACTCGAGGAACCGACGTCGAAGCAAGTGTCGATGACATGCACCTATACACTCATACTACGGAATACAGTAGTCAGTAATATCACGATCGACATGCTAAATTCGAATGAATTGGAACATTCGTCCATCCTTACTTCATTTATTCCTTCATAATTTGCATCTTTACTCAATTACCTGCTTATCGTGATAATACTGATTGTGTCTCCCATTGTTTTGATTTTTGTTCTTATGTTTGTGCATGATTTTTCTGATTGGTTGATAAACTGGATTGATTTCAATATGCTTGTTGATTGCTGATTGACTTGAGTGCCAGGCTTCTAAAAATTCTCTGGTGTTTTTGAGTTCCCTCTGTCTAAGATTTCCACATTTTTCCAATCGAATGAGTGTCCGCAGTTGTCCACGTGTGTTGATATAAGTGAAGAGATATCATGCCGTTTGACTGCTAATTGATGTTTATGTAGGCGAAGGTGAAGGGGGCGTCCGCTTTGTCCGATGTAGTGTTTTTCGCAGTTGTCACAATTTATTTCGCAAATGATGTTTGATTTGTTTTCCTTTGTTACTTCATCTTTTGGCTTGCATAAGATTGATTGTAGTTATTTTGTCGGTTTGTGTGCCACACTTATTCCGAAGGTTTTCAGTATTTTCGTCGCGGTTTCTGATATTCCAGCATATTGAAAACAATCCAATTTATCAACCAATCAGAAAAATCATGTACAAACATAAGAACAAAAATCAAAACAATGGGAAACACAATTAAAACAAAGAAATAAACAACGACAAATTTAAGGTCAATAAGAACCAATCAACGTCGAGGTGCACAGAACAAGCTTTGAGACACATATGGAGAAATTCAAACACTTCACTTCTATCTGAAGTTTGTGCTGATGATGTCGTTCAGAAGAACGATGAAAGCTCCACGACCAAACCATCCAGCTCAGAGAACAAAACTCCACCAAAATATGTCGGTTCCTTTCCTGGTTCTCACCATTGACTTTCTGAATTGTTTAGTGCTGCAGATATGATTTATCTGGTTCCGTGTAGTGTGATCCGGTGAGATACATGTGGCTTTGTGTATGTGTTTGTGAGAGAATATTGTACGGCCTATAACCACTTTACTGAATGCACATAAATTTGCGAATTTCTCACCACTCACGTTCCTTTCTCTAAGTCAATCCATGTCGTCCTATGGTATCTTCATATCCGGTGTCGTCCATTCCGACTTTGGCTTATATGTCTCTCATCATGATGGTCATGTTCTTTTCCTGGGCACTTTTCCATGGTTGATTGCAGCCTGTCATGAAACTGATCTTTATCGTCGTCTCTACTATAATTGTTGGGTGAAGAAAACTGTATCACATTCATTGTGATTACCTTCTTCTTTGTTTCCGATGATGATTTGATGTTCCAGGATCCATGATATTCCCATCCTATAGGTGCATTATGTGGATCTTTGGACAGCATCAGAGGAACTGCGTGAGTGTGTGAAGCGTTTTTCTCTATATTATCGGAGTACAGCAGCATCTCTCAAGTATCAAGCCGTTGCTGTTCAGCTTGGGTCAGATGGGTTTCACTGATTCCGAGTACGACCGATTTGTATCTCCTCATTTCCGTTGCTATTTGACTGGTCCTCCCAGTATCCTACCCAATACGACGTTCCATTTATCTATACAACTTGTTGCTCTGGTTGTTGTAAGGGGTATAAACCTCGTGACTTTCGAAGAATCTTGTCTTTCATCAAGAGCCATCCTAATTTTTCGTTGAATTTTCAGGGTAGAGTTTAAATCATTTAACTTATTTATTCTGGTTAGTGTTTTGTCAGTAAGATTGTTTTCTACAGGATGAGGTTACGAACCCCACACCCAATCCTCCTCCTTAACCCTAGAAAAGCTGAGTTATATTTCCTATTTTTAACTTCAAAATAGTAATCAAACATTACAGTCTCTGGAATGAAATGTTCGTTGCAAACGTAGGTGTATTATTAAATAAAATTACCAGTTTTATGCTCTTTAAAATAATTAACTGCAGGAGAGAATAAAATGATCGACAACACGTAATTTTATACTCATTCAGATCTTGGTTCATAGGCGATGTGCTTGTAGTGGTTTACGTTACACAAATGAGTAATTTATTTCATTTAAATATTAACAGTGGGTTGACTGGTAAAATTCAATAATAAGACTCAAATCTCAACTTTACAGACTAATAATCTGCTCAGTTTCAACTAATTATCTGTAAACACCTTTCCAAAGTATTTGGATAAGTTGTTTATGATGAACTGTTGTTACTTTTAAGCATACATCCAATTATAATCTATTAATTAACTTACCTCAGCATTCGACAACGAAGTTCTTCAACCCTTGGGATAAAATCTGTTGTGTTTGGTGAACCATGAGTCCATAGTCTTTCAGCTACAGCTGAACCTCGAGGCCTTTAATGATAAAATGCGGTTAATTCAGGTTTGTTAATAAAACTATTCTTTCATCAAACTTAAAAATAAAAAAAGATTATGTTTTTCTCAGAGATCTCAAAAGTCTGGCTTCGGAATTTCGGAATGTACGTGATTGTAGTTTTCTCTGGTGTTATGAGCCTACTTTCAATTTGTTTTTTTCGGCCTCAAATTTTTCCCAATTTAGGTAGATATCCGTTGCTGATAGGTGTCTGAAATAATTTATCATGTTCGACATAGATTGTATATTTGGTTCGGATTTGTCTAGCTCTCGTATAGAGAAAGTGAATGAGGTTCCTATTTTATATCAGTTGAGAAAAACTTTTAGAATTCATGTATTGACCATTCTAGGTTGGCCTGATAGGACGGAACTGTTGTGATCAAGATTGGAAAAATAAGACATTAGGCTCAGTCACTGATTTGTAAGCAAAGCCAGGACATGGGACGTATGTCCATAGGCATAAATTGAAGCACCGCATCAGCACAGAGAGGTGAACTTATCAGGATGAATACAGTGGTAGAAGTAGTAGTATTAGTGATTGTGAAACAAATAAGATGTATAAAACCATTCAGGAAAGAAGTTGTTTGCAAATAAATTTAAAGTAAGTAATCATTTTGTTATCAGTCACTCATTAGGACTGTCATAATAAATTCAATTGTGTGATTTACGCTTACCAATATGGCTCAAATTAACAGTTAGTTACTTCATGGAATGATATTATATCTTGACTTGGGGGCTCCTAACTTTCTACCGACGTATACCTACTGAAGCCACTACTGAGTGTCGATATAGGCTGCGGTTGGACTAACATAATACACATTCAGATCATCACAGTATCTAAATATTCATAATCTCATCAACGGTTCTATATTTGACTACAGCCCTGTGTTGAACTTCATTATCGTTTACTTGGTTGCTGTTCCACTGTAAGTTTGCAATGCTTCGAACAAAGATATGACCGATTGTCAACCGGATTTAATTTACCTTGATAAAATGCTAATATTCACAAGCAAATATGTTTTTCTAATAACTTTATCATTTTCTCACTAAATCATGCCACAAACTTTCAAATGTTGGTGAACAATTGACAACTCAGAGGGACTAAGCATTTGTTACTTAGTGGTATATGGCTCATCAGGAGTGGAGACATATGATCACTCCAGAAATTGATTCTATGGTCTTCAGGCATTTTATCTTTAGATCATGGAGTAACAGAAATGTGGCACACATTTAGAATTTTATTACAAAAGCTATTTTACATGCACTTTATTGTGACTTGAAGTCCATGGATCCACTTTTGTTACTATATGAGCTATAATTTATACATACCGATGTAATTACCTGCTCGCTTAAATGCCCGATCTTGCAAAGTCTATTTCATTACGATCCAGAGGATTCCAGGATCTTACCTAAATCAATAATTCTAGCATTTTATCAATCAATTGAGGTGGAAAAGTGGAATCAGTTCCCTATGAAAATTCTTGTAAATCTTTTCATTCATTAAAAAAAACTTTGATCACTAAGAAAAAGCGACCAATGTGCAACAAACATGAGAAAAATCGACAAAGTGTGTAGATGACAATATTTTGAAAATACCTCCGAAATCTCTCGGATTAACACGATAGTGGTACCTCCAGGCATCACCATAAGAAATATAATTCAGGTAGCAAGCAGCTGAGAATAGTACTCTATAGCCTGCTTTAGTAACAGTTTTCACCACAGATTCCCAATATAAGTCTTTACACACATGAATTACTGCTGATTTATCGCACTAAAATCAATAAAAGAAAAAAATGAATGGGTTGACTGACGTATACAAATGCACATATAATTCTCAAAACTATGTCAAATCACATTTAAATCTGACGAAAACGTATCGAAGTGTTGGAAATGAAGACCTTCATTTTCTCTGATCGATAAACATCCCTTTAAATTTAAAACTACATTTATTGCTTATAGCAAAAGCTTTGCATTAATCAAAAGATCAGTGAATAAGTAGAAGTATTTTGGTAACACCTTCAACAACTTTGGTTGAACCGCTGTTCTTACTTTGCCAATCCTCACCTTTCGATGTGCATCGGATTCTCCTTGTTCATCGATGACGCTGTCCATATACGGGAAAGAATTCACATTTTTCACAGCTCGTTCATCAGGTGTGGTTGGTTTGGTATTCTCTGTGTGGTATTTGAGAATGTCACTTTCCTCTTATGTATGTTGAAGCCTACTGTTGGAGAGGCTTTAGTTACACTAGTTTTCCTAATCTGCATTTGTTGGTGTGTATGGAACGGAAGTGCTAGGTTATCTGTGAAGTTTAAATCGTCTAATTGGCTCTGAGCTGTCCGTTGTATGCCGTGTTTTCCCTCAGACGTCGAGGTCTCCATAATCCAGTCACCCGCCAGTTGATAGGGGTAGGGGGAAAGTAGATAATCTTGTCTGACTCTGGTCCTTACTTGGAATGCATCTGTTAGCTGTCTTCCATGCACGATATTGCACTGTAGTTCATCGTATGAGTTCTGGATAATGTTATTAATTTTCTCAGGAACTCCATAATGCCGAAGACGTTTTCATCATGTTTTCCTATGTACACTGTCAAACGCCTTTTCATAATCAATGAAAATGACGTATAATGACGAGTTTCACTCAACTGATTGTTCGACGATGATCCATAGTGTCGCAATTTGGTCTATGCACGACTGATCCTTCCTTAATTCATCCTGTCGATCTCAAAGTTGGGCGTCTACTGGGTGTTTAATCCGGTTCAGCACCACTCTGTTAAAGACTTTCGCTGGTACTGACAGTAGTGTGATGCCTCTGTAGTTCTCACATTTCCTTATATATTTTTTTTCTTAGTATCTTGATGAGATGTCACTGACTATGATGCTGGGTGATACAGGTCGTATTCGTCAGGGAACATATGCTTCCTTAAGATTACAGGTACGTTTTCCTGACGAGTGCCAAATAATACAAAACCTAGGCCCAAGCTCTCTTGTTGGCTACCTACAAGCACCACCTTAGGGAATCTATTGCCCTTCTTTGTTATTCAGAACAAAGAATCTTGATCAAATGTCATTGCAAAAGCGGAATATCTTCAGCTGATTGAAATATTATCTGAATTAAAGGACGTAATGTCATGTACCTTATTCAAGTGTGATTTGTACAGAAGGTAACTCATTATCTAATAATCATTAGTTTAGATTTACTTTTTATATAAATCATAAAGTATGATGTACTCACTCTAAATCCATTTTCAAATATTTCTTGCCACACAATTGGAGTGATATTTCGTTCAGGTGGTTTGACATCATTGATAATTTGAATTAAATTATTTATGTCATAGCCTTCCAGGCGGTGATAATCATCATCAAATTTCTTTTTTTTTCATAAATTCAATAATTGAAGGATTGGAACGCCTAGTATCAATAAAAATAATGCAAAATATATTACAATAATTTAAAACATTGAAGAGAATAAATGCTCCCTTTGTATATCATTCTAGAGGTAGGGAATATTCCCATATCACATCTAGAATAGAGAAATATTCCAAGTAATAAGTTAAAAAGAGATATCATGAAAAAAAAGTTATGTCAGTTGGTTCTGAACATACTATTATTGCTTGTTCGCTGATATCTGAATACGGTTATTAAGAAACATCGATGTTTCGGTCAGAATTATGACAGAGTTTTAGTTTACTTATTAACAATTCTTCGAAATATGCATGGCATGTTCAATCAATTTGATGAAATGATTGAATCTAAAGTTTGTATGGTCACAGCGCTTCAGATAAAAGTATGTGTTTTTTTATATTTAAAGGTATGTTTAGGCAGAAGCTAAATTTGTAAATTGATTGGAGTTTAAAAAGTTGAAGCAAACGTTTTTCATCTGGTCATGAGTGATGTGTTATAACTGTGACCGCTGATTAGAGAGCAGTGACTTATTGATCAGATCAATGACATGTAAAACCGTATGAGAAGTCTAGAGTTCTGATTCGCCATGCTTCCTGTCTAGCCCAGTCAGTTAAGTCCAGAACGCAAGTCTCAGCCTCTGAGATATGAATCACTGTATTTCAAGCATACTGAGTTTATATATCAAACAAACAGACCACAACGTACCAATAAAATATGAACAACATTTGTACAAGAATTAGCCAAATGTGTCTGTGAATGAGGGAGGCAGGGATTAACAGACAGGGAATAGTTCATGAATGGTAAACCGTGTAGTAATAGTTCATAGGTCAAATCAAAGCTTATAATAAGATCGACATGAATATGAACAGTTTAGTTCCATAACAATTATACGATAAAAATGTACGCATAGTATTAGTTCATAAATGGATCCCAAAAATTACCAATCATTATTTCTATCGGTATACAACATGATGATTTCTTGATTAAGTATTTGTACACGATAATCTTCACTCTAGAATTTTCAGAATTCTGTTCTACGGTAGTCACATGGTTATCATTAGAATAGTAGTTTAAATAATTTCCACAAATCTATCTTAATGGTAGTAAGCACATGTATACGAGAGACTAGATTCATTAAGACTTTTCACAGTCTTTGTGAGAAGCCGGTGGATTTAAGTCTTTTATTACCGAAATATACATAGCCAATGACATTGATTGATGGTCACAATATACATAGCTGATAGACTGAAATTGGAGATAAGAGCCATTAGATTATTCAGCTCGGTTTAGATAACATCAGGTGTAAAGTTGATATGATTGATAATTTTAAAAGTGGTCTGTACATTTTCACATAGTAATTTAGTAGTATAACAATTAAATCTAATTTCCAAATATTTTATTACATTGAAAATATATCCACTAACATAGAACAGAGTGTTCGTATATTTAAATTCTATGCGCTTATCAACACAGTTGTTCAGTAAACTTAAAAAAACCACATCCGCTGTAAATTTATCAGGGAATATCTAATTTAACTACCCTTATGCGATACTTTGTCACATTCAACGTTGGTTGTTCCAACATGTAACATTGAGAAGCAAGTATAATACGTATTCTAATTATGAATGCGTTCATTATAATTATCACGAATTTATATTTTAAGGCTTACCAGCAATTATATTCAACTTCATGCCCACCTAAATGAAACCAGTTATCAGGAAATACACTAAACAATTCTTTGTATAATTGTGACACAAAGATATAAGAGATATTATTGATTGGATTGATTGGACCCAGATTACCATCCGGTTCACACTTAATGTAACATTTGGTTAAAATCTCTGGATACCCTTTCCCTCAAGAATTTGCATGATCTATGGTTAGTAAAATGTTTAAAGAATATTATCAGTAATCTTCATCTCAAAGTTTAATCACTAAAAGTTTTATAATTCGGGGATAATTAAAGCCTAAAAATTAATTGTCTAAAAATTCTCATAATGTTAAAACAAACGATACGTAAAGAAAGAAATTCGTTCATATTGAGTTTGGGAATTACAAATTCAAATGAGTGATCTTAAGCTAAATTTAAAGCATAATTATCCTTTGAAACTATGGTATATGAACTAAGGATTGTTAGCAAAATGATATTGGTAACCTTAATAAGTTTCATCACAAACTAAGCATAATTGGATAATCATCATTCATAGACCCATCATGAATCGAACACAGGATCTTCCTTATGAATACTTGTGACTTGGTGGTAATTTCAAGATAATCTATTAAGGATGCACGTGTTCTAAAAGAGACTGATCGATTGCAGTTATTTATATTAATGGCAGAAATTTTCAAAAGTCGTAGAAACGAATTAAGATAAATCTAAATTAGAGAGAGGCTAAATGTACATTTGTCAAATTAAGTTATTTTACAACTCCGCCTGTAGCTCTTCTGGAGTTACTGCCGGTCCCAAGTTCGGGTAAAGGAAGAGGGTTGGGTATAAGGTTGGCAACCCAATCCCGTAGAAAAAATCTGACTAAAAAAAACGTCAACCAAATAAAACAAATGAGGTTGTTTTATAATGAGGATGAGTATTGACTTCTAATGCCTGAAGTTGGCTACAGTGAGAGAAGAGGCTGAGTATTTTTCTTTTATATGCAAAGTTCAGGTTTGGATGGACATAAGAATAAGTAAGTTGAATTAGTTTATCATCTTTCAATCTTGGTTTCACTATCGGACACGTAAAGAGCAGTAGTTTTAATTCATTTATTTGAAATTCAGCAACTTATGTACAGCAAACCATAAAAGAGCTTTGACTAGAATACTATTATTTGTCACGGAAATTATTATAAGCAGATTGAATGGCAATTAAACTCAATTTAATCTCTCTATACATTTCCGAAGTTGTTATTACGTAATGCCTAGCTTTATTTCTCATTTCCCAGAAATATCTATCTATGTATTTAAAAATTCTTTTTTCAGGAACTTTCACATTGGTTAAAGCATAAATATACAACTATTTGGACATTTTATAATTCTTCAATATTTACTGCGTCAGTTAGCAGTCAAATGCCATGATATCTCCTCAGTTATATCAATACACGTGCACAACTGCGGACACTCATTCGATTGGTAAAATGTGGAAATCTTAGACAGTGGAAATTCCAAAAGCACCAGATAATTTTTAGAAGCCTGGCACTCAGGTCAATCAGCAATCAAGAAACATATTGAAATCAATCCAGTTTATCAACCAATCAGGAAAATTATGCACAAATATAGGAACAAGAATCAAACCAATGAGAGACACAACCAAAACAAACAAGTAAACAATGACAAATTAAAGGTCAATAAGAACCAATCAACATCGAGGTGTACAGGATGAGCTGTGAAACGCATATGGAGGAATTCGAATACTTCACTTCTATCTGAAGTTTGTGCTGATGATGTCGTTCAGAAGAGTGATGAAAGCTCCACTAACAAACCATCCGGCTCAGAGAACAAAACTCCATCAAATACATTGACTGCCTTTTTACCAATCCCCGTTATTGTATTGTAAGTCATGTGCACTGGTTTTAGAAGATTATTACTAATGCTTCTATGCTATAAAGAAACTGAAGAGAGTCCAACAAATTATTGAACCCATGTTGTTCTGTTGTAGTTATCGTTCATTTTTTATTCAAAACTAAAAGGGTTTATGTACTGTATCTTCCAAGCAACTTTCCTATTCGGGTTCCATTTTAGTGATCCATATACTCCCTTCATAAGTAGAGCTTCTAGAAAGGATATTTTGGCTTCAATACCTTTCTCATATATGTACTTAATAACCGGCTAAAATTTATCAAACGTCTGGAGACTCTTACTGACCACTGTTTTTATATTTATTTTGGAAAAGTGAATCAATCACATGCTAACAGTAAAATCAGAACTGCCCTAGTTAATAATCTTGATGTTTTGTTTTAGACCCACTGACACACCTGTTGTTATAGCATCCATCGTTCCACACGAAATTCAAACTTATGTTACATTTTAGTAATAACACTATTAGCACATATACTAAGATAGAAATATGTATTACCGTTTCTCTAGTTTGGTTGTATACATAGGTTACCTATATAGGTTACTGTAAAGTGCATACAATCACAAAGCTTAACTATTCATCTTTGTTTATAGTTGGAATGAAAATGAATCCCTTGTAGATACAGCACATAATGATTGTTTGGTTTGTCAAAATATAAATAAGTGGTGATGAGGTCAATCCTCACCATACATTCAATACAAGTATGTTATAGTAATCTAATGAGTTGCAATTTATTTATTTACATCCATAACTTAAACAACTTGGAAACAATCAAATCAAAACAATCAATCAATGTGATTACATAGTAACGTAACATTTTTGAAATTTATTTTATTACAATCTATGAACTGTGAATAAAATCTAGTTTATTGTTTACAGGTTAAGATCGGTTGAAATGAAGAACAATTATATACGATAATAAAATCGATTTATCATCGGTACTAATATAAATTATAATCAATTAAAATGATGATGATGATTCTTAGTGATGAAAGTTTTAAACTATTGCCATAATATCTCTAGATTGAAGAGTATTTATAGTTGATTGAAGTTTCACAATTATTTCATGGGAAATTGTGGACACTATGTTTATTGTATAACAATCAGCTGCTTCATAATTGATTGATCATTGGGTGGTCATCAATGTCATGCGTGTCTAATCCTTATTAGTTCAGATCGAATGCTATCGATCATATTGCAATGTGGCTACCAGTCTACGTGATTCGACACTGCGGGCACTAAATATTGAGATTTAGATGGTGGACTAGACACGCATGACATTGATCACCACCCAGTGATCAATCAATTGTGATTACATCTCAGTCCTACAGGAGGCTAGCCGCGGCTCAGATAGCTCAGTGTTAACGTCTCTGATTGTGAAGCTGGGTGAGACGAGATCGAATCCACTAGGGAGCACTAGTTCCCTCAAGATTACGGGTACACCTTGCTGACAAGTGCGAAGTAGCACGAAATTCGGGTTCAGGGTTTCCTGTTGACTACTTCCAACCATCATCTAAATCTCAATCAGTTGCTTGTATTACTATTTTCTTATGTTTTTCAACTTGTTAAATCTCATTTAAACCATTCACCGCTGTTATATGTTTCCTTGTTACAGATTTACAATTAATTTACTATTTTCCTAGCACGTTGTTTTGTATTACATGGCTGAGTAGTGTATTAAGTGTAATTTCTATTTATTTTGTTATGCCGTCGGATATTGAGTTATGACAGAATTGACTACAACATCTATCGACATCTTGAACGATGAAGTTTTTCGAAGAACAGTTTGGCTGGTCTAATGTCCTCAATAAGAGTAGTGGCCTTCTAGTTAGGGAACTGACTAAGTTGTTTACAAACGTCTGGCAATTATACAGTGTCCCAACGTCGTGAAATGAATCGATACTTAGTCCTGTCTTTAAGAAGGGTAAACCTCAACTATGCAACAATTATAGAAGGATAGGTCTATTTCTGATTGTGTCTGAATTTTTGGTCTCTTCCATACTTCGTAGACTGTTCAAAACTCGGAAAAAATTGACTCGCGAGAAGCAGGCTGGTTTTCATCCCGGTTGAGGATGAATTTGCCAAATCTTCAACCTCCGTCAAGCGTTAGAACACCGCCACACCCATCACAGGCCAACAATCATAGTGTTTCTTGACACTAAGGCTGAATTAGATTTGTTGGACAGGACTGTTCTCTGGGATTTTCTATAGAGGAAGGGTGTGCTTGGGAATTTTATTAGCAGCTTGAAGGAGCCATATACAAACACTGCAGGCAGAATGAGGGCATACAACCACCTTTCTACATTGTTCCATTCCAGCAGTGAGGCGATACAGGGTTGCCCAAGGCATGTAATCCAAACATAATCAGTTGGCGAACAGTTTACTTAGGTATGGCATGTGTTTTTGACCTCCTGAGTGCAAACTACTTTTACAAGTTTGACGGAACCATGGGTTTGCACTCACTATCGTTAGTAATCAGATAGGAGTAGTTGAGAAGTTTTTGCAACTGGGTAGCTGCATAAATGTTGGTGGTGGCGTGAGTAATGATACTGTTGCACGTATAATGAACGACAGACCGGCTTATGCAGATCTGCCTCATCGTTGCGCCTTCGTGATGATAGTTTGTCTGTAAAAGGTCGGATCCGCAACTCACCGATGAGAGCAGTTTCGCTTTGTGCTAGTGAAACGTGATCTCTCCAAGTTGGGGATGTTAGATGACTCTCTGTGTTTGGTTATGTTTACCTCCGGAGAATTGCTCACATTCAGTTGAAACACCATGTCAGTAATGCAGAAGTTCGGCATCGTGTGTTCAGGCAGAGTGACGATAAATCACTTGATGTCAGTAATTTGAACAGCGAAACAAAAAAGTCATGTTGGGCAACGGAAGATATTTTCGGTGACGATGTTTACTTTAATTCAGAGTTTGTGAAACACTAACATTCATTTTTGTCCTTATTATAGGCCTTCGTTTGTTGTATAATTCACTGACATACTGTTTTCTGTTCAAAAGCAAATGGAATTTAAACGTAACATTTTGTATTTTCTTTTTCCACTCAAATGCCCGATTTGGATATAATTGTATTTTTCTAATTGTTTGTGAGTTTCGGTCGTGTTAGTCGTCTATGTATTTTTACATTAATCTGAATCGGGAACAAATCGAGTAGTGTTCTTGATGACTTGTCTTTTTTCTTTCTTGTTTAACAATCAGGTGATAAAATAATTTCTGTTTCTCTTTCTAAGGCCGTTAATCTCGATTCAATTCATGCATTTCTAGCCTCAAAGTTAAACTAGTTGGCCTATCATATGAAGGTTTGAAGCTAGATCGAGACAAGTTTTCTCATGTATATAAGAGGGTAGTGATATGACGGGATGCAAAGTCAAAATTAGATTGATTTAATCATTATGATTTTTATTCAATATTAATTCCGTTTTAATTCAATGTTTTGGTTACTCAATGTAGTATTTGTTTCTGTTCTCTCGTATGACATTTTATTTTGTACAATATACGATATTCTTGTGATAAAAATTGACCTGAACTATGCACAGCATGACATGTAGCATGTGATTTGTCATAACTCTAATTACGTTTCATTTATGTAATGTCATCCTAATTATGAATCGAAATGGGTTTACAATCAATATATAAATGAGTGTTGTATTGACTAGGGTCGTCGTGGTGGTCGTGTTTTGGTTTTAATAAATCTTCACTTGTATCAACCTTTGTGTTCTTACTTTCGCGTCGTGAAAATTGCAAAGGTTCCTCGCTTTATAAGTACACGTGATAAGCGATTCCGACATAACAGTCAGCGACGAACAGATATAACAATTGGTGACGCAGTCATAACAGGTAGACAGATCAAGGACGTAACAGTCACCATCTTGAAACCCCAACATCGGTGGTTAAAATATGTCCAATGACTGTCGTCCCGGCGAATTCCATATCGCGCATTATTTGTCAACTCTGGGACCGGTTGAAAAAAGTAGAGAGGTGGTCACTGTATGACATAGTGTCGTGGTATGAAAATAATCTGTACAGGACTCGCTTCTGTTGAGCCTTCACGACTCCCTGTTTGAGGTCCTTGCGATGATGCAACACGGTAGCTTGAGACGTAAGTGTAACTTTTTTCGTAAAATTTAGAATAACGTCTATAACTGGAAAAAGTGTTTCTGGTCGTATTTTTCCTAACTAAACTGCCTCTCTCACTATTATTATTATCAAACTCTCATACACTAGTTTCTGTTCATTGCTGCTCCTCTTTTCATCATACTCACCTTTCATTCACTATCTCTTCACAAGATAATTGTCTGGCGCATATGTATTTGGTGTCCTCCTGTATCAATGTTTATGTATTCAAATAAAATAAACGAGTACAGCAAAGAAATAATCGCCTTTATATCACTGTCTCCTAATTGGACACTTTGTTAGGATGATCTCGAAGGTTTTGGTGAATGCGCATTGATTACTGTATTTAATAAAATAAATCATCTGTTCTACAGGCATTATAGGTGAACTTATCAGTAGTCGAATGAAAGAGTACAACTGCTCTCATGATAATGGCTCAACTGCACGGGCTTCAACCCAATCTTAGAGTCTGTTTTTATAAAGGACACATTATTGTTTATTAATTAGTGACTATATTAAATCAGCATCATTGATTACTGTCATTATTGTATTTTTAAAATAAAGAAATGAATGCATTGTTGCCAATCTAAAGGAATTATTCTGAAATAAACAATCTAAATGAGGCTTCTGAAGAGTATCGGCTATTCGGAAATACGAAACTGCAAGTCATTTACCATAGTACACTCGTAAATTCAGACTAAATGAAATGTTTGTTGGCACTCATAAGCTTGAATACTTTACCGCTGATTTGATCACATACTTGAAATAGTGTTCCATAGTAGTTCAATGGAAAATCCGTACTTGTTTTTCAAAAATATTAACAGTCTTTTCTATAAGCATAAAACCTTTTTACTTTTATGAATGCCAAGAATTATGAATTTTAAGTAAAGCAAGGATTTCAGTTGGCTAAATTCAGTAAGCTAACTAAAATCAATACTCGATGATTATTATTATTTAACTTATGAAGTCATACAGTAAATGCCAAGGAACCAGAGAAATAAGTCACACAGAATGGATCATAGAAATTCAATACAAAAGTAACGACGATATGTCATACTCATTTGATGGCAAAATCGAGATTAAAATATTTACACAATTCAATTTTTAAATTTATTATTTCAAACTATTATTTGAAGCACAGTTTTTTCCTTGCGTTCGAGGAATTCGCTTTCTCATTCCTCTGAACACTTCACAGCTTGACTAAGCAAATATGTGTTAAGAAATATCGACAGTTTGTTCTTATTCCATCTAGTTTCAACGAACCATAAAACCACCATTAATTAATCAGTCCTAGTCATCTGAATTGTTAAGAGATATTTATCAAAGGTTATCAGGCTTCTAATCCTTCAAAGGATGGGGGCGACATTCATACCAAATAGTACAATACTCTTGATATCAAACACAACTTGCTTAACTCCGCTTACTATCGTGATCAACACAATTTCAAATAAACTATTGATAAAACTTAACACGGACACTAAACACTCTAGAATATTAGTGATCATAGATGGTAATCATTGAAATTTCATAACTATTTAATAACTTTTCCTACCTGGTGTATCAAATTCTGGCATTATTCTTATTCCTAGTAAACGAGCATAATTTAATAAATATTTCACATCGTTCGGCGTATAGATTAAAAGATACGGGTGAAATGCTCCCTGAAATTAAACGTATGAAAGAATTTCAAATATATAAGATTAGTTAAAAAAAAAGAATAAATTGTATTTTTAAAAACAATGCTCTGTAGTTTAAAGTTAAAAATCCTCAAATAAAAAAGCAATGCTCACAATTGATTGGTCACTGGATGGTGATAAATGTCATGTGTGTCAAGTCCTTCTCAGTGCAGATCGAATGCTATCGGCCAAATTGCAATGTGGCCACTAGTTTAGGTGACTCGACATTGCGTACACTATGTTGAGATAAGATAGTGGTTGGAGGTAGTCATCAGAAAACCCCGAACTCGTGTTTCGTGCTATTTGACACTTGTCAGCAAGGTGTACGTGTTATCTTGAGGGAACTGATGCTCCCTGTGGTTAGGTTAGACTATGAAGCTGGGTGACACGAGATCGAATCCGCTAGGTAGTATCAGTTCCCACAAGAACAGGTACACCTTGCTGACGAGTGTCAAGTAGCACGAAACCCGGGTTCAGGGTTTTCTGTTGACTACCTCCAACCACCGTCTTAAAAAACTGTCCATACTCAGATAAACACGTATTCGAAAATCTTTCTCTTAAACTTTGAAGAAAGTTTCGGAAACGTTTCAGATACATAGGGAAAAGATTGATCGCCCACAATATGCCAATGAAGTACATTCATTTTCACCATTGACATTGAATCCTTTAAAGTATAAAAGTAACCAAAGTATGAATTTTAACCATGTAAATGAAACTTATTGAGGATTTATTATGACGGATTGAAGCCAAATTTGATTACTAAAGGATATATAAGATGTCTTCGTGATTCCTTATTGTTGATCAAACGTAATTATCGATTATAAAGAACTTATTTATTAGCACAAACTATGTGATTGTTTGAAATAGCTAGATGGGTCAGATAGCCAGAACAGAGTTTGTCGACTATTGAGATCCACAATTTGACACTATAATGAACATCACATAACGTTCTTACCCTTAATTTCAAAAGTGACACATAAAATATAACTACGTTCAAGGCATGTCTTGATAATTTATGATAAATTGAGCACTGGGTATAATTGTAATATCGACTCTCAACCAACACCAAGGTCAGGATTCTCAATACAAATGTCAAGACAGTTCTACTGTATGAGGCGGAAATCTGGTCTATGCAAAATACTTCGGATCCGTTGGCCGGACACTATTAGCAACAACCTACTGTGGGAGAGAACAAACCAGATCCCAACGGAGAAAAAAATTAAGAAGAATAGCTGGAAGTGGATAGGACACACATTGAGGAAAGCACCCAACTGCGTCACAAGACAAGCCCTCACCTGGAACCCTCAAAGCTAAAGGAGAAGAGGAAGACCAAATAACACAATTCGCCGGGAAATGGAGACAGACATGAGAAGAATGAACAAGAATTGGATGGAACTAGGAGAGAAGGCCCTGGACAGAGTGGGTTGAAGAATGCTGGTCGGTGGCCTATGATCCATTAGGAGTAACAGGCGTAAGTAAGTAAGAAAGTAATTGTAATATCACAATGAATAGGGAATCACATTTTCTAACGTTTAGTCACTTAATGTAAGTCACTTCTTCAGAGAATAAATAACCAAATCAAAATTCATCCAAGTTTTTGTACTATTTAAACTTGAATGAATTTTAATTTGGTTATTCAATCTTTAAAGAGGTGGATTACATTGAGTCACGGAACGTCAGAAAATTTGGTTTTCTACTCATTAAGATATTACAATTATATTATTTGATTTATAATTATATCCATTTATACATTCTGTTACTAAAGTAGATTATGTCATAAACATGTTATGCACTCTGATGTCTAATCCGTATGAACATTATATTGAAAATGTCTTAAAAATGTAGATAAATATTCTCAAACTGCACATTTAAATTTCACTGAAGGCATGAAATCCTCAGAACAGTCTCAACATCTCCTAAGAGATATATATAACCAATCATTTCATAGTAATTTCATCACCTTGACGACTGGAGGCCTAGTCTGTAATACGGGTAATACGGGTTGCTTGATGTAAGTTTTTCTCAAGAAGATTGAAGGACATTATCTAGTATAGTCGAAAATAAGCAGAAGTGGATCAATGAGGCACCACATAATTGAAGAAATTATGAATATGGATCATCAGATCACAGCAGGCTCAGGGATCCAAATCATGTAAAAGGTGAACAAAAACTTTCTAAATACGTCAAGCTCCTGTTTTCTAAACATTACTGGAGCTATTGTGACACATTTAGAAAAACCCAACCTATGTAAACAAAAGAAACCTGTTCAACCTATTCGTGTTTGGTTTTAATTTTCAAAATTAGTTTCCCTCTCCATCTGCTTCACTAGTGACATTTTTCTCTCAACCGAATTATTTCCTTTCTATGCCCTCTCTTAATACATTTCATTTTTTTTTCAATATTATGCAATCCTTTTTCCCAATTATTATTTTCTGATTGAAATCATGAGTCAGTTGTAGCTAGACCACTATGGAAAACCTGGAAGCACTGGACAGCCATTTTGTCCTATTGTGGAACTCCTCAGTGGGAGTTCACATCCACGACCTGCTCTCCTGCGAGATTCGAACTCAGGACCTACTGGTTTTGCGCACGCGAGCACTTAACCATTAGACCACTGAGTCGGCCAGCAACCAACGGTGTTAATGTCTATTTTCAACTAATCCACGAAATCGAGCCACACATATAACGTTTGACTAATAGTAGCTAGATTAATCATTTCATACAATCTAGTTAATATGAGTGTTTCAATAAGTTTAGTTATACTTTAATGAGAGTTATAAGTGTGTAGATATTAAACATAAATATTAAAAATTTCTTCAGATAATATTTTATACTTACAAGGAATTTCTCAATCTCTTTCAATGATAAATAATGTCTAGATGTATCAATTAAAAATCCTCTATGGGGAAATGATGGTTCATCCCAAATTAGACCACCTTCAATCATGTTCTAACAAAAATAAATTAATGATTATCTAATTTCACATTACTGTCTCTAGTGGACTTCTATAAATTAACTGAAGTATTGTTTCTAATCCATGTAATATTCCCCAGATTTCTTCGGATTTTAAGATTATTCTCTTACTGAAAATAAAAAGTGAATCTGTGATATAATAATTTCGTTGAATAAAATAACATACACGTCTCAATGATTGATTCAGAAGGCCATAATTCACCATTTGACTCGTTACATCCCCTAGTGATTGATATTTTGATGGTATCGATTGTAGAATTTGGTAAACAAATAGGAACTTTAGGATATTGTTTTATTAATGTGAGACGTTCTTCAAAACGTTTTAATGCTTCCGTTAAAATATAACAGCTTTTGTATGAATGATTGTACGTCAACACTTCAACAAGATTATGATAAATTCCTGTCTTATGATGTTTATAAGCTTTAGGGACTATGGAATGACATTTAGAAATATAATAAACTACAATAAACAATAAGTATAGAAAACAAGTTATGGAACATTTCATGACTCTTTCTAGTTCGACTGTGTAAGCGCGATTTGTACTTATATATTCACTATTACTGACCAATCAAAATTGAATCGATGCTATCTCATATATGAATGGTTGAATCGTTTGCAAATACTAACAGATCTGCATCACTTCACTATTTTAGTCATGAAAACATGATTGGTGGGTGTTCATTTAAAATGTTCACGATAACATTCAATAACTTAAATATAAAGCTTGAACAAGTATTTTCTCAATATAAATGTGTAACATGGAATGTCACAATCAGGTTCTAATAGTTCATTATATATAAAGTATAGCGACAGATTATCAATTGGTTGTTTATTCATTCATTCATACATTCAACAATGCTTGATAAAGAGAATAACTGAAATAACATTCAACACTTTCTATATATTATCGCACAGTATTAGTGCCATGATTATTTTTCCCCCGTTTTTATGTCAATAATACATTCGTTATATGCCATATGTCAGACTCAATACAGATTAAAAGCCCGAAAGATAAGTATAATTTGTCTCCAGTAGAAATAGTCACTGTTATGACTAAGAAAGCTTGACTTCCAGAATTTGATCGTAGTGACCCTGAGTTGTGGTTTTCTCAACTAGAGCATTATTGCACGAGGCACAATATTCAATATGAAGAGATTGGGTACCAATATATATGCTCAGTCCTCCCCCCTTTAGTTCCTATAGAAGTCCGCAACTTAGTTTTGAGTCCCTAAACGTCACAATCACACACCATTTGTAGACGTGAGATAATGAACCGTCTATCTTTATCAGACGGCTGAAGAGCCTAAAGTCTTTTACAGGGAGAAACATTGGCTGATAGGTCACCAAATTTCTTACGTCACCTCCAATTCCTAGAGGGCGGCAATATTGTGGGTGAAGCAATCCTAAAACAAGGATGGATACGACAAACCGAACCAGATAGGTACCCAATAACCCATATTCAGGATTTTACAAACGGCTTACAGTGTATGGACATATTTATTGAAACTGACTTGGTCATGAAGTATCACAATATCCCAGTAATAATAATGATGATAATAATAATAAATTTATATTCTGAAAAATAATAATTACAGAATTGACGCCAGTTTACAGGCATGATCAATTTGATATAAGTAATAACGTGAAACGTGCAGAAAACAAACATGTGGTAAAAGTAAGTTTTAAGTATACTAGTTCAGTAATTGTTTAAGTAGTACATATATTACAGCGATCCAAAGCATCAGCCGGGAATTTTTAATATTTCTTAAATCGACAGCCTGTTGATTTATGAACGGTGTAATTAAGGTGAATTCGTGTGCCAGATCGAACTAATGATAATTATCTACAACTAGAGAAATTAAAACGAAAACAGAGAGCACGGAACAACAAAAAAGTAATTACCAAAATATATTAATCAGGTCTACCTAAATGCGTGTGTCATGTGACACAGTGATATACTGTTTGTGTTATTCAAATTAGTTAAAGTTGCTAGGGGCAGTGTTGGCATATTGACAGCAAGTGGGTGGTTTTACTAACGGGATTCACTAATAAAGATGGCTAAACATTTAAGGTTCCTAAAATATTACTTGTGGAATGAGATACACTTAAAGGCGCTAGACCATTCAATGCATTTTCAGAAGAACAGTATGCATCGATGCAGCGAACAAATAATGGGAGTGATTTTATTGTGCGGATAGGTTGTGGTAGGTTATTCCAGAGTCTAGAGAATTTACAGGTGAAGTAATTCATATAAAGAGATGATTTAGAATGAGTTTGTTTCACTAGTGCCAAGGAATTACGTATGTTATAATGAGAGGTTTCTGCATATTGAATCGCGTGATCGGATGTAAACGATAGTTTATGAAGTAGTTTGAAGAAAAAGATAACATTTAGTTTGAGTCGCCTCCTCCATAAAGGGTCTAGCCCAAGTTTATTACATCTAGAATTATAAGTTAAGGTACAATCAGCTCCAAGAATACGAAGTGTAAATCGTCTCTGTACTGATTCCAGCCTTAATTTATCCTTTATGAGAGCACTGCTAAGAATAAACGTGCAGTATTCCAGAAGAGGTCGAGAACAAACTTAGTACATTAGCTGAGGAAGATATCCTCAAGACTAAGATTACTACATCTTTTGGACAGTCCGAGTTTTTACGCATGCCATTCGAGATGAAAAATGCAACACAGACAAGACTACTTCGGCGTGTGTTTTTTTGTACAAGGGAATACAGACAATTTGTTAATTACCAGTCCAATTTTTAATCACGTAAACGACACGTGAGAACTGTTTTATAATGGACAGATGTAAAACGAATGAAAATGCATCAATGTAGGTATTTTTTTGGTGTCCAAACTTTATAATTCTCCGGACACAATAAACGTAGGCGGGATTATACCGATTACAGAAGAGTTAGATATCAACATGCAGTAATCCACACTAAGTTCTTGAACACAACTTAGAATTTTTTCTAGGTTCAGTTGGCTTTTGTCACAGATTCATACATCGTTGCGGACAACTAATGGAATTAATAACAAATTTTCTCAAGAGAAAACCTAAGGAATTTAAGCTGAGTTTTGAGGCTGTCAAACTCTGCCTGTGGCTCTTCTAGGGCTACTACATGCGCAAGTCATGGTACAGAAGAAGGGTTGGTCATGGGGTTGGCAAACCCATCCTGTAGAAAACAATCTTGCTAAAAAACACCAATCAGAATAAATAAGTTTAATCATTTAAACTCTGCCCTGAAAATTCTAGGAAAAATTATGACGGGTCATGATGATACACATTGAACTTTCCTTCATGTTGATATTTTACCTTTAGGCTATTCTAATTAGATTAGTAGGTTACAAAACAATTTAAAACATACCTGAAGACAGATCTATGACAGTAATTCTTGTTGTTATTATGTGCTTTCTATATTTATTTTCTCTACTTTAGTTATTAATGTCTATAATTAGCGAGTAACAGTACTAGATTCGCCCTTCATTGCGCTTTTCATTCCTAAACATGACGTTCCACCTCTTTTAGTAAGAAAATACTGGTTTCCAACTACTAATCTATATTATTATTATGGTCCCTGTAAAAAAATGTTCCAATAAAATAGTTTATAAACCACATCTTTTCACACAATGTAGCCCTATATTTTTGTTTCTTCACATTCCCATTGTTATAACTTGAGACTGCAGATAAGAAAGCAGTGATGAATTATCGATCGGACCAAAGGCGTGTAAAATACGTAAGAATGACCTAGAGTCCTGATTGGTCCTGATTCCCTGTCTAGCTCAGCCATTTGAGTCCAGAACGTAAGTCTCAGCCTCTGTGATATGAATCATCATATTTCAAGCATACTGAGTTCATATACCAATCAATCTGACCACAACGTAACAATAAAATAGAAAATAACATTTTTTACACTATTTGACCAATAGAAAAAGTCCATTTTAAGTCCAAAGATAAAATTAGGCTTAACAGAATACATTTTGGGATATTTCTCTGAATATCCCAACACCTCCCTTTTTTTGGAAGATCCCGAGTTGATATCTGGGTTATCGAAATGATCACATCTGTAAAAACTGGCATTTATTCTACAATGATTTAAAACTATGTAATTTGTTGTTGAGTTATTATTATTCATATTTTTGGACTAGAAACAAATACAGCACGATCATAGCTGTATAATATTGAAAATCAATTCAATCCATTCTATGTCCATATGTAAATGGTGTGTGTTTGTGTGTGTACTATGCCTTTCAGAGTCATTATGTTTATATGTATATTATTGTTCTTATTCTAATGTAGCGTGATTGTGTTCCGTGACACGTTTTAAGGGTGAACATCAAAAATAAACTGTCTAATTCACAGTTTATTGATAGAGAAATCATATATTTCGTAATTCATTTATATTTATATTAATGAATAATCATTACGATTTTAGTAATGGTTAGTTTACACTTTGTAAAACATGAATGAATTTTTTATCAAACCTAATGGAGTGTAAATTAGGCCTCAGCATACACAAAGGGAAACTCAAGATCTTCCAATTCAAAGCAGAGAATAGCAATCCAATCACTCTTGGCGGCGAAACTCTGGAAGATGTAGAATCCTTCACATACCTGGTCAGCTGTATCATCGATGAACAAGGAGGTTCAGATGCACATCGAAAGTCAAAGATAAGCAAAGTAAGAACAGCATTCCTACAGTTGAATAATATATGGAACTCAAAACAACTGTCAACCAATATCAAAGTGAGAATCTTCAATACCAACGTCAAGGCAGTTCTACTGTATGGAGATGAAACTTGAAGAACTATCACAACCATCATCAAAAGGGTACAAGTATAATGAAAATTTGATGAACTATGTAGCAGCAGGCATGAGACGATTTTATAAAAAATTATAAACCTCAACTTATTTTTAGTTATGTAAATAAATCAAAGTTCAATAGCATATTTTACTGATTTTCAACAATAATGACGACATAAATAGTCCATTTCATAATCATTTCAAGTAATCATTATTACTTATAAAAATGGAGTAAGTGGACAAAGGTGAATGGGCTCATGTGGTTGACACTTAAGCTAAGTGATCACTGTTTGAATGATAATACAATGCTTTCATCAAATGTGGTTTGTTCAAGACGATACGTCTGAATGTATTGCACAGTTTTGTGAACTACTAGTTCGAAAATTCAAGTCTATTACTGCTATTCATCAAGAGTTAGCGTTTTTTTAGTGAGTTAGTTTTCTACAGGATGGAGTCGCTAACCCCATACCCAACTCTCCTCGTTTATCCAGGCTTAGGACTGTCAGTAGCCCCTGGAGGGACTCCAGGCGTAGTCGCTATTCATTAAGATCATCAATTATTATTAAAGCTGGAAATCATTAGTAATTTGGTTTATCAATGCTTTTATTTTATGAAGGTTCAACATAACGTTTTTTGTATGTTTTCAACTAGACGATGTTTTTTTGGATTCACTTGAACAAAATACAGGTTAGACTAATCTACAGCAATCTGTTATAACTGTGAACGGCAGATTTAACGGTAGCGAATTATCGATCGGACCAAAGACGCGCAGACAAGTAGAACGACCTAGGGTTCTGATTGGTCCCGCTCCCCTATCTAGCCCAGCAGTTGAGTCCAGAACTCAAGTCACAGCCTCGGATATATGAATCATTATATTTCAAACGTACTTTGTTTATATACCAATCAATCAGACCACATCATACCATAAAATAGAAAATAACATTGTACAATATTGACCAGTAGGAAAATAACACGTGAAATAAGTACTGACCAATAAGAAAATCATACCATGTCGAAGATCAAGAATAGCATTAGACTTAATAGGATAATTTCTGGGATATTTTCCTGAATATCCCAACACAATCCTACACTTATTTTATTCGACTACAAATGCCGATGATTCTAGTTTAAGTGTTCGTATAAATGCAATTCAATTATTACGAAGTGGTTTAATTTTAAGAATAATAAACCGCTACTAACATTACTTCTTAAGATATGCTGTGTCCACACTGTATTCTGTCATACTTTGATTCAGTTTAATTCCACCGTACATGTCGTTTGATTTGATTAAAAAAATACACATTATGGAATATTCCTAACTGAATTGTTACTTCTCTCGTCCTCGGTCTCCAATTTAAAAATAGCGAACATGAGATTCATACCCATGTCAAGCACAAAAATCAACAAAAGGATCACCCTACCATATATACAAGGAATATCAGAAACCGCAACGAGACTGCTGAAAACCTTCGGGATAGGTGTGGCACACAAACCAAAAAAATCACTGCAATCAATCCTATGCAAACCAAAGGAGGAAATAACAAAGGAAAACAAATCAAACATCATCTACAAAATAAATTGTGCCAACTGAGAAAAACACTACATCGGACAAAGCGGATGCCCCCTCACTTACATAGATACACGTGGACAACTGCGGACACATTCGATTGGTAAATTGTGGAAATCTTAGACAGAGGAAATTCCAAATGCACCAGATAATTTTTATAAGCCTGGCATTTAGGTCAATCAGCAATCAAAAAACATATTGAAATCAATCCAATTTTCCAACCAATCAGGAAAATTATGCAAAAATATAGGAACAAGAAGCAAACCAATGAGAGACACAACCAAAACAACGAAGTAAACAATGACAAATTAGGGGTCAATACGAACCAATCAACATCGAGGTGTACAGGATGAGCTGTGAAACGCATATGGAGGAATTCGAATACTTCACTTCTATCTGAAGTTTGTGCTGATGATGTCGTTCAGAAGAGTGATGAAAGCTCCACTAACAAACCATTCAGCTCAGAGAACAAAACTTCGCCATGAGATTCATATTTCAATGCATGATTCAGGCATTTACTACAGCAAAATTAACAGAAAATAGAAGCACAATACTGTTTTATGCTGTCACCTGGTCATTGCTTATCTTCAAATAACGGCGTCAGTATCTCTTTTAAACCAGATATTCATAAACAGAATCCTTTTTGCTGCTATGAACGCTCTTCCACGTTGTTGTTTCGGCTTCAGTTTCTCAGCTAATCTAAGTACAGATCTTTCGCTGATAAGTGTCTGCCTTAGCTTATCAAGTTCGATGTCGATCGTGTGGTCGAAAAACATCAGGCCGATCCTCTTGCTGTTGTTTCGAATATTGCTCAGATCGATGTGTTAGTCACAAAATGTGAAATTATTATCTTTTTATTTCTAATATTGATAAAAGCTGTCAACTGTTGACCTAAGTAAAGTGTTGCTGAGATTGGTAATAAAACAGCTAATCAGGTGTTTGACCGAGTGGTGACTCGGTTTGAATAGATAGATTGTTTCCGTAAGAGGTACATTAGTAAAAAGTAGTAATAGTAGCGTGGGGTCGAGTCGCTGTTGAGTATTACCACCACTACAAGAAGGTCGCGTACAGAATTTCGATAAAATCTCCCGGAAGCCAAATATCAGAACACAGTTGATGGACGTAGACGAGATATATTTGCTGATGATCTCGTGGTATCGAAAGAATACCGAGATCGTGCCAGGATATAAGCTTGGTTACTGAGCGTAACCGAATTCGCCCGAAGTAATAATCGGAAGAAGAGAACAGTGGATGCTTTTAGTACAGTTAAACAAACGAGCACAATAAAGCAATCACTGGTACAATTGGTTATAATATTGATTGTTTTCATTAAACCAATCGAGTTCTCTTGATAAAAGTAGGTCACTACACAATAATATCTGGTTAAATCTTCTTCCCGGTTACATTGCAATCCAGATAGTCTACTTTGTTCATAGAGGTCTCTACTGATAATTGGTCCACCTCCCGTTTTCTTAAACACGTTTTTCATTTCTTCACAGTTTTTTATAAACCATGTTTTTAATTTTTTCTTTAAGAAGTTTACTGGTATCAAAAGAAACGAAGAATTTATTTGAAATTAGTCCCTTTAATTCATGGTAACAATCCCGATGTTGTTATCCTCGTTTTATCAATGGATCAAATAATTGAGAACTTTGTACCGTATAAAATAGTCGTTTAACTGGATTATTGGTCGCAACAATTTTACAATCGTTGTTTTAATTTTTTTAAGGTTTTTTTGTAGGTTAAAAGAATAAGTCCATTCATTCAAAGCGTGAAGATTTCAAACTAGGTTTTAAATGTAGATTTCAGTGGTATTTGTTGAAATGTCATAGAAATTTTAACATAGTGACTATACTTGTGCTTTAATTGTGGATAAAGAAATATTAGTTAATTTGAAGGAGCATTTCTTAGGCACTTCAGAAGTGGAAGCATACACCTCTATTGAAATGGAATGCTGATACTGATGTATTAGTTTTGTGCATTACCTATCATTTTTCGTGTGGTTGAGTGGTGTAAGGCGTTGGATCTGTGCTCCATCCACATGATACCTGTTCACAATCACTCGAGTCACACCATAACCACCAAGTGACACTGTGCATATTCTCACAGCGTTCCGTGTCACTTGAACACTTGGTGCAATGCACAACACTGACCAGTGACAGTGCCTTAAATAGTCCCATTCAGAGACAATATTGTCTCACAGTATGGAGCAACTGTGATGTGTGGTGATGATTGATTAAGTGAGACAGTGAGTGAACTACTGACTGAGTGAATGAGAGATTGTATGAGCGAATGACTGAGAAGCAGATGTTTTCGTCAGGTGTTGTGTGTGATCCGTGTGGTCTGATTCCATGTTGATGATGCATGTGCATGTGCATGTGCATGTGCAATTGCATATGCGTGTGTGTGTGTGGATTGTGTATTATAATGTATTGTGCGTAGTTAGTTGTGTTGTCCGGAATGGTTTAGTGTATTTGTGTGAGGGTGGAATGGAATAAAGAAACTGATGAAATAGATTTCTAAACTGTTTACAGTTTTTCCTGTGGTTGAGTGTTAAATGGCGCTGGATCAGTGTTCCAAAGTGAATGGGCGTCGGCTCGAGTACCATCCACATGATAAAGGTTCACCATAAAAGAAAACAGATCATAAACACAAGGTGACACAATAAATAATCTAACAGCCTTTCGTGTCACTAAAATACATGCTGCAATACATAAAGAGAAATTGAGTGAAGATGCAAATGATGAAGGAATAGATGAAGTAAGGATGGACGAATGTTCCAATTCATTCGAGTTGAGCATGTCGATCGTGATATTACTGACAACTGTATTCCGTAGTATGGAGTGCATAGGTGTATGTCATAGACACTTGCTTCGACGCTGGTTGCTGGAATTTTCGATAGTCACTTGACCTCAATGTTTCCACCTCAAGGTCAATTGTCACAACCTTGACAGGTCGAGAACTCCTGGCCACGTGACTCCAAATCCCCATCTCAAGGTCACTCGACTCCACGTTGACTTGTCGGCCACTGCCGGTCACTTGACACGGCCTTGTCCGTCTCAAGGTCATTGGCCGCAACCTTGATTGGCGTCGGCCGTTGATCACGTGTCACGGCCTAGTCCATCTCAAGGGCATTTGCTTCGAGCGGACCATGTCGATCGTGATAATACTGACAACTGTATTCAGTAGCATGGAGTGTACGTTGGTGAGAGGATTGAAAGACCATATAATCAGTGTGTACGAGTTTGTTGGCTAGTTGTTAGATAATCAGGTAATTGTTTGAAGATGCAAATGATGAAGGAATAGATGAAGATAGGCTGGACGAATGTTCCGATTCAATCGAGTTGAGCATGTCGATCGTGATATTACTGACAACTGTATTCCGTAGTAGGGAGTGTACGTTGGTGAGAGGATTGAAAGACCAAGACCATTTATTCCAAAGCCGCTAAAACGAAACATTTTCGAAGCCATGCACAATATTTCGCATCCCGGAAGAAAGGCCACCATCAAACTAATCAGCGAACGTTTTGTATGGCAATGTATTAATCGGGATATTCGTAATTGGACGCAAGCGTGTAT